TCACACAGGATCCTGAAAGCGCTGGGATCAGATCTGGGAAATGTGCTGCAAGACAAACACTTCCAGCTGTTCCACTGAAAGCAAATCTCAGCAAGTACCTTCCAGGCGGGAATGTGTGGGCTTACTTATTTAGGAAAAGAAAAAAAATCTCACCATTTCAAGCCTTCAGCATTCACCTTCATAATTGAAATCTCTAATCACAAGCAGAGTGCAATACGTGACTGTCTTCTGGGAGCTGTTTCTTAAGGTGGTTTTCCATTTTTGTATTATTTAGCCCCTGCCTTGGTGCCAGGGTTTACTTAACCTTAAGCTTGTGAACAGGCTTATTGAATTTGGCCAAGATTTGACTAATCTGTAATGAGCTCCAGGTTGCCTGGAACTTGGCAGCGCCGCCGTCCTCTGTGCCGTTGCATAATGGCCTGACCCCACGTAACCACAGCTTTGCCTCGCACCCCTTCTCCAACCTCGAGTCCCACTCTGAAACCCCGGGCTTCATGGAGAGGCCACCCTTCTAAGGGGTGTCCTGAGTGCTGAAAATGTCCTCGACTGCTTTCATCCTCTTCCACGGGTGAGAGTTGGGACAAAGTGCAAGAAAAGCTCAAATGTGGAAACCAGCCAGGGTGGAGGGGGGCTGCAGTGGTGGCAACCAGCCAAAGGCTGGTACCTCCTCCCAAGCGTCCATGGTGGCTGGGGGAACGTGAGAATCCTGGCCATCTTCCTCCTCCTCCTCGTCCTTGTCTTTCTCCTCCTCCTCTGCCTGCATCGGGCTGATTTGTAGCCCCCTGTGGTCCCCCTGCGCTTGTGAATGGAGGATGCTCATCCTGGAAGCTCTTCCATTTGAAACTTGCTAGGTGTTTGTTATTGTTTATTACATCATTTTAATAAGGGCAACTGAAAGGACTTAATTCATCAGAAATCACAGGGGTAATTCAGATGTTGCTCTAAGTCATTTTTTTCCCCCGTTGTTTATTTACTTCAGCTCAACCACTTGAGAAATCCATTATTTGCCTGCTTCTTATTGAGTATCTAATGATGAAAATAAATTGTTACCACTCTTTATTGTGCATTTCCCATAAGGCTGACATGGCACAGAGGAGGAACCAGATTCCTTTCCTTCTAGCATGACACTGGGAAGATTTTTTATAGCACTTCAGCTCCAGCCCTCTGCAAGCCAGCTGAGAGCAGGATCATTAAAGGCAGGATTTAGAGGTTGTGGGGTTGCATAAATTAATTCAGAGCAAAATTTTTCAGGCAAACATTTTGTAATGAGCGAGGAGGGAGGAATCTGGCTTGGATCTCATATACTCAGCAGTTAGCTGGAGAGAAAGATCCTCTTACAAACAAACAAAAAAAAGATCTTTCCTTGTTCGGACATCAGAGAGCCAAATATAGACTCTATCACGTTTCCTTCCCTCCTCCTTCCGAAGCTCGTCCTTTTGAAGTGCACTTTCAATGGGATGTGGATAATTGACTCTGTGAACAACCGACCGAGTGCTCTGTTGGTTTAACCGATTGGTCTCAGTTGCTGATTCCTGTTTTGTTTTGGATGATTTTCAGCCCAATTGCCCCGTCAGCTACAATTAGTCCCATTAATATGACAGCTGAAAGGTCACAGATGATTCCCTCTGGTCGCAGGCACGAGGGCAGCCAGGAGATACTCACAGCGAGTTGTTCTCGGCTCTGCGGTTGCGTGCCGATAGCTTGCTTAAATTGGTGGCGATTGCAAATCCTGGCGTAAAACTGATGAAAAGGAACACGAGATCTGCTTCACAGGAGGGTGATTGACTGAGAAATGAGGTTGCAATAACAAGTAACATTTGGATGAACTTTTCTTTAATTAGACAAGAAAGCTCCTGGTTCTGTATAGAGAGGACATGTGGATTGGCTGGGCTTCCTTTCGCCCGCCAGAGCCGCAAGGAAGGGAAGCAGAAGTGGGGTAGAGCCATAGGCGCATCTGATGGCTCCTTCAACAAATCCACAGCTGTTGTTTTCTGTGGTTCCAGTGACATTGGCCATGATTTTGGGCTTTGTCTCTTCCACCCAGGATTTACACTTAGAGGAATACAATAGGAAAGGGAACAGCAGACGAATGGATAGAGCACAAGGGATTGTTTGGCTTCTTAAGATTAATAGGGGTCAGATGCACACGGGTGCAGGTCAGATGTTGGACTCATGGGTCTCGTGGTCTCTCTTTGGCCATGGCATGGCCAAAATGGTATCACAGAAAACGTGGTCTGGTTGTATACTTGGTCTTTTGTATGAGAAAGGAGATATAAGGCACCCGAAGAGCCTGAATCAGCCTGTTGTTGAACTATACAGACCCTAGTTGGAAGACCCTGGTTGGAGATGGTTCACTTGCAAAGCAGGATGCTGTGCCTGGTGAGGTTCTGCAAAGGCCTGGTTTCGGTTTGGTGTATTTGGTATTTTCCTTAACTGCTTGGGTGATGGAAAAGAGAATACGCAGATTCAATTCACAGATGACCCCCCAGCTGGGAAGGGCTGGCAGCAGCCTGGCTGAGAAGGTCAGACTTCCAGATGACCTCACACAAGCTGGGGAAGTGGTGTGAAAAGGACAATTTGTGGTTTGATGAAGACAAACATGAAGTTTTACAACCTGGCAGAAACAGTTGACTGTGCCAATGCAGGATGGGGACTGTTTCCAGTAGGTGAAAGGATGCTATTAAAAAATGCAAACAGCTTATGAATCAGGCAAGAAATAGCATCATGAACTTCAAACAGGGTGATTTTGGTTAGACAATAGGGGAAACCTAAATGATAGAGGCAGGAAAATATTAGAGTAAACCAGAAAGATATGAGAGGCTAGAGTCCACTTCACTGGAGATTTTTAAGAATTGGCGGGGCAAACTTTTGTCAAGAGTGGCATAGATATATTTGATGCTGCTGCTGTGAAGCACAAGTTGGAGAAGGTCTGCAGACCTCCTTGGGGTGAGATGAATATTTTGCCCACTCCTTGTGTCTTATTAATGAATCATTAACATTTCTATGAGGAGCACATACTTTGTGAAAAATCCCTTGGCCAGGGACTGAAATTTTCCTCAAGCAGTTTGGTGGGAGCTTTACAGCCAGCCCACATGCTGGGCTGTCGTGGGCACAAATTCCAGTTGAAGGAGCTCGGGTCTGGAGTTGTGGAAACATACAGCCTACACAAATCCTCCCTTTATTCCTCCAGAAGCTGCACTTTCTGCAGACATCCATGGGGTCCACAGGTCAGTGTGCTGCACTGAGCTTATTCCAGCTTAAATCTCATCTGGGACTTCTTCCTGGTGAAGATAGCTGATGCTTTTAAAAAGCCTAGCAGCAGGAGACCTCTTCTATCAGTGTGTTTCCATCCATGTTTGGGCAACACAATGAATGCAGATGTAGTAGGAAACTTTTGATTATCTATAGGATTTTTCTGTAGCAACTTCAAAGCTCTGTGGTTAGTTATATTCAGAGACTTTAAATGGATATGTCTTGCGTTCAGAGCTCTGATTTAATTTTCCGGTTTAATCTATTGTCCAAATGTCATTAATGTTGTCTTTGAGGCATGGGACAGCTTTGATGGAGTCTTTCTTTAATTTCTGGCCATCCCCTGTGCAGCTATAAACAACATCCTGCCTGCTAATGAGAAAATTCAAGTTATTGCAGTCACATGTCTTGTGGAAATAGATTGTAGTGGCAGGAGGAAAAAAGGAACCAACTTTGCTCACCTCCCACCCCCAGCTGGCATGAGCATTTGGATTACTGACAGGGAGAAGTTTCCACAGATTAAGATACTCCATTAAAAAGCAGTACTGTCTGTTGAAAATGAAATTATTGATTTTGTAGATGTATCATTAATTCCTTAACCTGCTTTCATGAGCTATCTTTTCTACCTGTAAGCATCTAAAACCTTTCCTAATTAATGCCCTGACAGCACGTCAGCTGTGGGGCTCAACTATTCCTGACGACTCCAGGTTTGTGGAAGAATTTGACCTGTCCCTCCAGTGTGAAGTGAGGGAGCAGGATCCTCCATTACGTACCCAGTAAACCAGTTGCATGATGTTGATATCCTACCCGTTGTTTTTGCCTCTCTCCCAACTTCTGTAAAACTTTTTGTTTGGCAGGTAAAAATTGTGTGTGTATGACCTTGGAAAGACTTGGCAGAAGTCGATGTGAGGAGCAGGGCACAGCCCAAGGTCACGGCATTTGATCCTTGTTGCGCCATGATAAACATCTGCAGAAGATTTGGGAGGGGGGCAGCTGGTCATGATGCACAGCCCCATGTTTAGCTCTGGTTTGGATAATGCAGCAACAGGAGAGCAATGCCATCAGGAGAGTAAGTGCACAACGCAGCAGTGGGCAGTGTTAGAGCACCTTATTTGTAGGGAGAGCCCACCCTGCAACAAACTGGCTTTATTGGCTCTGGGCTCATTGGCAACCAGTGTGTAAACTGGGGGTGTTGGTAGCAGCTTCACAGCATGGGAATATCTCAGGTCTTGTCTGTGCAGGAGCTTGACCGGCAGAAACACAGAATTGGGACATGGTGTGAGGGCTTGCTGAAGGATGCAGTTGTCTTATGGCAGCATAATTTTGCTCTATTTGGAAAGAGGATTAAAGTGACATGGATAAATAAATATAAATATTAGCTGATCCCTGCAGCCAGTTTTCCTCCGTGGACAGGTTTTACAGGAAGATGTCCTGCTTGCTTGCAGACAGGGCTCGATACGATCCGTGTTCTGGCTTGGCGAGAGCCGCCCAGCCTGGTGGTGCCTCTCGACGTGCTGGCTTGCACTGCTGCACCTTTCCCTGGCATTTGCACCCTTGTAACCACACTGACCTCTTCTCTGGCTTCTCCCTCCACCAAATAAGTTGACATTCATCCTTTCAAACCATCCCTGGAAACAGCTGCTGCTGTCACATGTGCTTAGAGGATGGGTGGTCACCAAGAGCGGGCTGGAGGGTCTCCTGCAGTCCCTGTGGTTTCTGAGGTTCCCCTCTCGCCCTCCGTGTCTTTGCAGAGCACGGCTTTGTCGGCTACTCCAAAGAGCTTATGTTCAACAACACACTGCCGGACTACAGCCAGGGAGAGTCCTTCTTCACTGTTTTTGGAGTGTTTTTCCCAGCTGCTACAGGTACAGTTAAATTTTATTCTCCCCTCTTTTCCTCCACAGTCACATCTTGGAGATGAGCAGAAGCAAAGGGAGTTCCTCTGGGCTGTGAGGCAAGGCGAGCAGGACCGCACTCGGCCGTAGCAGACTCATGAGGTCGATTCAAAATGTTCAGGCTTTCCTCCAGCATCTTAAATTTTTCACACTCCTGTGCTGTTCACTTGAATGTGCTCTTCTGTCTCTTTGTGGTCAGAAACTGCTGGTCAACTCTATGGGTTGATGTGGTGGTATAAATCCTTTCCTGCCAAGGACAAGGCTCAGGCACTGATCTTGGCCAGTGCTGTCAGGCCACCAGGTATCAAGCCTTTTTAAAAGGGCTGATCACGATTTATCTTATTAGATAAGCCTTATGACTTGATTGCACTGGGAGGGTGGGACGAGCACAGGAGGACTTTCCCATTCTTACTGCAGGCTGGGCTGATGCCATCACTCATGATGCTGACCCACCACTCTCTGCATGGTGTCACGGATACATCTTTGCATGTCAACAGAGCTCACGCTTATGAGCTTAATTGGATGCTTTCATATTATTCATTCCCTTAAATTACTAGGAAGATCCGTGTCCCCTTTCCAAAGCTGGCAATCTCCAGTGGCAATGAAATAACTATCAATTGGAGTTACAATACCTTTTGTTGATGCTGGGTTTTTTAAGCTATAAAAAGTACTGATTATAAGCAGTTTCCATAGTGATGAAACCTTGGATTACAGAATGAATTTTCAGAGGATTATCTCTAAGCAACTCACTGGAGATTGTTTGCAGAATTGCTGTGATACAGGGGGACAGACTAAAAGGTTTCATGAAACAGATGGGTCTGGAGGAATAATCTGGTAGCAGAAGTCACTTTGTCAGGTGCACCTAGTGCAGGACTTCAAATTTTCCTTTGAAATCCTCTGTCCCAGCCTATCAGACTGGCTATTGCCTCTGTGTAGACTTCCTCCTGGAAAACTCACCTGCCTGAACTATTGGCACCATGGAGAAGTTGGCTCCTGCCCTCTTTTTTGTCATTCTGCCTGGCCCAAGCGAGTCCTCTGGCCAAAGAAAGAGACCTTCCCCATGAGCCCTGCCTCCAATGCAGGAAAGCAGTTTTTTCCAGCTCCCTGATTATAGAAAAGCGATAGTTATGACAAAGCTGTGCAGAAAATTACTGTGCTTAGCCATATTAAATGGTTCCTCATCACTGCTAATGCTTGGCTGCTAGGAAGAAGGCCAAAGCTAATAGATATAATTTATTTAAAGCCCTGGCAGCCTGTTGCTTTGCTAGTTAGCCACAGTAATACCAGTAGTAATGTTAAACATTCTCTGAAAATATGGTTTGTGCTGATGTATAATTACTTCTGTTGCTGCACAGCTTTTTCATGAGTTCGTTTTAATTGCTTGGTTATTTACAGGATTTAAATTATTCCTTTGGAGTAGCAGTGCCAGTGGTACCATATAACACCACTATTGCTCCTGTTATTGCTGTTCGTAGCACTGCAAAGTTCAGGAGCTTCATAAAACATAGAGTTGTGTTTGGTGCTCTACGTAGAAGAACCTATGCTCGGATTAAGAAATTTTTAAGAAGGTGGAAGTCAAGACTTCTCTGCTGCAGATCACAAATGGGGAGCCCAGTGCAACCTCAGAAGTGCTGGGAATAAAGCTTGCATCTCCTAGGGCTGGGGCAGTGAGTGGGGGCTGCAGTTCCCCCGCGTCCCGCCTGACCCACGCTGGCTTATCTCGCCTCCTCCCCCATGATGGGGGTGCGATGCCCGGGCTGCAGCGGGGACCCCGGGTTTCTTGGGGTCCCACATGCTGGAGCAGAGCTGTTCCCACCACAGTGCAGGCGCTGTCTGGATGCAGCCCGAGCCTGCCAGCAGGACAGGCAGGCTGCAAGATCGGAGGTGACATTTCAGGGATGAGTTTGGCAGCGGCATTAATAGCAGGCTGGAGAGATGCGGTGGGATTGCCGGCGCCTCTGATGCAGGGCAGGCAGCGTGATGCAGGTTGCGAGCGAGCGGCAGCGTCAGTCCCCAGCGCCTCTGCGTGAAAAGGAGCCGCAGGGATACCCAAACATCACCTCCAGTCTGTGCTCCCGCCCCGCACCATCCCCAGGGGGTACCCACCTCTGCTGGGACCCCCGCAGTCACCCGGCCAAAGCACTGGAAGCAAAATCCCTTGTGTTAAGATGCGTCAGAAATTCGGGGAGAGTTTCAGTGAAAGAGTATGTTGTTTATCTTTGAGGGGTTACTTCGAGCCAGTTTGAAACATTTCTGTGACCCACAGCAATGTTCTGTTTATCTTTTATTATTAAACCTTGTGTTTACTCTTTTTAATTTTTAGCATATGCTAGTTTACAATCTAAGATGCTGTTTTGATAACAAAGTTTTAAAAAAAATGTTTAGGAAATTGTGAAATGAGATGTTTGGGCCTTTCTGAGATGAAATGTTTCTCTTTGAAGTGAAACTATTTTGATCTTTTCAGGATAAGCTCTTTACTCTCCCTCTGAAATGGTTATCTGAATTCAACTGGTTTAAGTTGTCTTTGGGATGTACAGAAAAGTGGGCTTAAGTTGCCCATTTCCACCAGAAATAGCAGTGAAATGCAAACTACGGAAATACAGGCTGGTAGCTGCAAAAGCAAAGAGGGGCAGCCACTTTGGGAAAGGGGAGCAGGACCTGCAGGGAGACCCTTGCTGGGACCAAATGGGCAGGAGGAGGAGCCGGGTACGTGCTTTGGCTGGAGGGGATGGGATGGTCGTCCCAGCCTTTCGTAGACCGGTAGCGACATGCTGCCTCCTACAAGCATCCTCCTTGGATCGTTTTGCTCCAGGTTGGGTTGTTTTCTCTGTTTCTCTATATTTTATTGCTATGACTCCAGCAACGCGGTGAAGTTATCCTGGTTTTACAGTTGAGGAGTGATAAGCAGAGGCTGGTCCGTTTGCTTCCTGGGTAATAGCTGTTTAAACCATTTCAGCTGGATATGCCATGCAGCTGGCTTTGTTCCCCCAAATTTGTCATTTAATAATAGAGAAGTAGCTGAGTGATCCAAAACATAAATCTAGAGCTGGCCTAAATGGGAGTGCATGGGCATGGAAGACTCAGACTCGCTGGCTTCAATCAAAAAGACTGATGTACTCGCTACGGAAGATGTGAACGTACCCCTGTAGAGATTCTGTGCATTAACCAGATATTTTTCAGTGTGTTTGTAAATACCTTCCTAACGCACATGTTTTGCTGCCGTGCTGTGATACGCAAACAGCCAGCTACCTGCTTAACTCGGGCTTTGCATGGGGAAGGAGTCTCGGGAGCTGCCTGCCCATGTTCAGCGCCTAGCAGCAGCCGCGCAACCACCAATGCATTTTTAAAAAGGAGTTAAATGTCGTATCTGTTGTGCAGAGAATGTTTTTCTTTTTCTACTAAATCCCCAAGGTTTTCTGTCTAATGAAAGAAGTGTGTTGTCATGCGATACAAGAAAGTAAGACGACGTTTGAAGTGGCGTTCGTGGAAAATATCGTACTGAAACCAGTTCTGAAATAAGCCGTATTTGGCACTTGCAAAATGACAGCAAATAGATTTAGAAGTTTTGGGCTAAGTTATCAGATGATGTAAACTGGCACAACTCCATTGAAGTCTGTGGAGAGATGCCAGCTTACATCAGTGGAGAATTTGGCCCTTTTAAAAAATTAGCTACAATTCTTATCTAAGATTTTCCATTCTTCATCTCTTGGGTGAAGGAAAAAAGAAACCCTTTTATATTTTGTAGTAAATTCACTGGGAACTGTAATGGGTGTTTGCAAGCAGTCATATCGGCAGCTACAAACCATAGCTGGTGGAGTTAGAAGCCAGAGCTGGTGGAGTTGGTGGTTGTGACTAATGTACAATGTAGGTGGTCCCCTCATGCACGTATCCACTGCCTGGATGATGCCCAGGACAGGATTACACTGGGAATAGCATCAATGTACAAACTGTCTCAGCCATAATTTCCTGGCAGAGTTGACCATGTTTGCCTGTTTCCTTGTCCAGAAGCTTTGTCATTATCTGCTGCTCTCTTGAGATAATAGCCAGTGTGGAAAATCCAGCCTGCTATCTCACTGAAACAGAGAGGTGGATAATTTTCTCCGTGGACAATCTGCAGATATGATTGCTTGAGTTCAGAAGGGATTGGCCATTTCCCTAGGGACAGGTCTGTGTCTGGAGGAAGGAGTGCCCCAACTTCTCTACGTTGTTGAATTTTACATGCAAGTGTAGGGTTTTTCTTCTGTTGAGCAGCTAGAGTCCCTGGAAAGGCTGTTTGTGGTTACTCACAAGTCAGACCAGTTCTCTGGCAGGGCGTGACCAAAGCTATGGATGGTGGAGATTGTTTAGTTTTTTTTTAAAATTAATCAGGTTGTCCTCTCATTGAAAAGTGGGGTGGTTAGTCTGCTGCTCGCAGAAGACCTTCTCAGTACTGCTCTTTGGCAGCTGTCATCTTGTCTGGGAAATTACTTTTTGGGTGGTGATGGAGAGGTGACTTTAGCATTGTCCATATGCCTGTACTACCAGATTGTCCATCCTTCTATACTAGTCAGGTCTGAGGCATAGTCACAGCACAGAGGAGATGGATTTGGCCTGAGTGGCTGAGAATATCCATGTTGGTTCCCTCTGTGGTGGCCTTTGGCAGTGGAAGCCATGAGACACTGGTGACCTGGGAGTCCTGACAGAAACTAATGATATGCACTAGCCTAGGTCTGACCCCTGGTCGCTGCAGGTCAGGAGGTCAGTCTGATCTTGACTGATCTCAAGATCCTGCTAGTGTGGGCTCTGGCAGGTCATCTCCTGACTGTTCCTGAATATGCATGGGTCTGTAGGAGGGAGGCAATGAGGCGGCCTGGGCTGTGCAGTCATTACTGTACAGATGACTCGCATGTCTTCAACTTTTTCATATTCAGTCCAGAAAACACCATTTTGGTGTTTCCCCAGTGCTTTGCTGAGGTAGGAGTTTGGATGAGGAAGAGGTGAGTCAAGCTCAAGCTGGAAGATTTAGAGGTGGTGCCAGATGTTTGGGAAACTTGGCCAAGAGGCACATGAGATTAACAGCTGTCCTTCTGACAATAGTTTGCTCCCTTCGGAAGAAAAATTCAGAGTATTCTCAGCTTCCTGCTTTGCCCCCAAACTGCAAAGTAGCATGTCACTGGAGAGTGCTTCATAGAGGCTTCATGTAGCATGATGTCTGTGACCATTTTCCATGCAATTCTACCTTCCTAACTTTTCTCACCTCCAGATAAGGCTATGGTGTAGCTGTTTAAAAGGAGCGGTGCTTGAACAGCGTTTGGAAGCTTTATGTGGGGAAAAGTGCACCAGCTGACGGGCTTTTAACAGTGCTGCTCAGAATTAGGTCCATGGAATAGTCTTCCAGGAGAAAATTAAGAACTCTTTTTGATTTGTAATGTTTTCGGTATGGTGTCAAGGATTCAAATCTGGTCTGAATCTGGAGGACAGCTTTTCCAGGAGCTGAGGAATGCCAGAAGCCCGTGGGGACTGATGGGGCTCTGGCTTTGTGCAGGTGACAGAAAAAGATGGCTTCTGGGTGGGATGATCAAGGGGGAAAAAAAAAGGGATGATCAAGGCCAAAATATTAGTAATAAATAAATAAAGCCCTGGATGCTTAGCTGATATGTTTGGCAACATGCGAATGCCTTGTACTCATTAATGCACTATCCTCACGGCAGCACAGTGAGGAGATGAGGTGTTATGGTTCCCGTATAGCAGACAGGAATATGGAGCTATGAAGATGGAACAGCAAAACCTGGGATGGAGCAGGGAGATCAGCCCCTGTTCCCCGGTTAGCAACCCAGCTGCTGCTCCCTGTTGGCAGTCCATCGGTGTCCATGCAAGGTTTGAGCTGGGTTTGTCCCCTTTATGTGAGATTTGTCCCACAGCTCCTGTCTACCCTTCATCTTGGGAGAAAACCCTCCCAAGCAGCAGTCAGTGTTTCAGCTTTAAAATGCAATGGGTTGTCGCTGACTTAGAGCTACAGCCACTCAGACTTGCAGCCTCAGAGACTGACTTCGTCATTCTTGTGCCCTCTGGAAACGAGGAATGACTGCTGGACTTGGCAGCCGAGTGGTGGACTGACGCGCAGCTGGTCTCCTGCTGCTGGGGCTGGCAGATGCTGTGAGTGCCGTGGCGTTGGCGTCCTCCTCCTCATTGTTGTTCTCTGGTGATCTCACTCCAGCTCCCAGGGACCGTCCCGTGAGCACTGCTGGCTGGCACCTGGCCCACGCGTCCTTATGAAGATGTTAGTCTGACATCTGGGGGGTGGGACAGTGATGGACAGAACTTAGTGTCTTAAAAGGCTCTGTCCTGCCTTCAAATTGTCCAAATTCTCATTAGGATTCTAAATCACTTTTTTTTAAATTTGTAGAAGATATCTGAAGTCTTCTAGGAAAAGTTTTGGGATAATGTGCCAAGAGAAGTTGTATTTTCTTGCCAAGTCTGGTATGACTTCTCCTTCAACTATGGACAAAGCCTCTTAATCTATTTGTACCTTGGGTTCCTAGCCTCAACATGGAGGCTTTAATCATCCTTTCCTCCATCCTGTTTCCCTTTCTTATGTCTTTAGATGGTAATTTTTTAGGCTAAGGACTGTCTCTGATTGTACAATACCCTGTACTCTGGCCTAAAATAACAGTTCAGTACTTTATTCTTAGTCCCGCCATGTGTTTTCTACGTGACACTGGGACAATCACTTGCCCTCTCAGCGCTTCTGTTTTCCTATCTGCAAAGTAGAGATAATGCCTCCTTCCAAAGCAGATCCCTTGGCTGGAAGGTGCCACCTACGTGCTGAGTTATTCCCTCGCTGTTACTGCCACTGCTAAATGTGCATATGATCGTCATTAAACATGGGCAGGACAGGTCATTTTGTAACGGCAGTTGTCCCCCCATGAATACAGGGAACTGTAATGGATCTGGTCTGGGGGGGTAGTACCACCTGCTGAATGTGCTGCCGTGATGAACGATAGCATTTTTATTTTCAACAATGGGACAGCACTGTCTTCTGTGAGGTTTGCCTTAAGATAAGATGGGTTTTGTTCAGATTTCGGCATTATTTTTTTTTTCCTTTCCTCCCAGCACTGTTCAAACTGGACAAAGGGTTCTTTGTAGACGTGTTGGTGGTGGCTTGCTTCTATTAAAGACATCAATAGTTTCTTACCAAGCAGTCAATGGGAGCCGGTATTCTTGTGTGTGGAATTGCAATGAAGTGGTATAGTTACTGTTCTGAAGCAATCAATTAGCTGATTGATTAACTTATACTACATATTATAATATTTATATGCTATAACTTAGGTTAACTCTGAATTGTGTTTATGTCCACAAAACACAGGTGTGATGGCTGGGTTCAATATGAGCGGAGATCTCCAGAAGCGTGCTGCCAACATCCCCCTGGGGTCTCTGGCCGCTATTGGAACCTCGTAAGTCATAGATTGGGGAAAATTTACTCTTTGGAGACTGCCCTGGATGTGACCAATGCATTTCATATTCCCATCAACCTTTTATTACTCAGCCATCTGGAAAATTAAAGTCTGGCTCTCATTCAAATTACTGTCCATTACCACCACTTACTCTGGGTGGGTTAGAGAAGAGGTTCATTAACGCAGATATAATCGGTCCTTTCTCCACCGGGTGGGATCTATGTTGGTGCTGGAGTGGTCGTGCTGCTGCAGCCCAGCTGTCCCAGAGTGGGATGCAAAGCTCTCGAAGGCTTGGGGTGCGTGTTTTTGTCACTTATTGCTGTTGATTTCAAAGTGCTTTCTTTTTCTGTATGAATAGAACGTATAAAAGTATAAAACATTTGAAACATCTAATTTTTATTGCTGGGAAAATGTGGCCAAGACAGATGAGATGACCTACCCACCTGCAAGGCCAGGGGAATGCAGGAGCCCTGCGTCCCTGAGCAGTGCTGTCCCCTGGGAAATGCTGCTTTCCAGGAGTAAAATACTGTCACATAATGAAAAAAAAAAACCTCAATAGGTTTTCCTGCCTCTTTTCATTGCCACATAACTGCTTTTGAAATTACTGCTTTTAATTGTGTACCAAGGTTCAGACAGAAAGGAAAGGTCTTCGGAATTTATAGGGATTCCTG